AGTCTTCGAACTGCCATTAGTTGTATAACTATAGTTGAATGAAAATGTTTTCGAGTTGTATTGTATTAGACTCCTATTGTAGATCATTTATTTGATCTCTGTCATATGATGATTCCTTTAGTCTGTATGAAATCGCGATAATGGTAGCTAGGAATCTATCGTTTCTTGATAAAATTAAAATCCGCTTCGAATTTGTTTGCAAGCTCACCCATCCTGATAATTATTTATTAATATAAATATTGATATTTTAATTTACGATATCGCAATGGTTTAGTTCATTCTCTACTTTACTGCGGCTGCGAGAGCAATTCCAAATACAAAGGACACTAAGAAGCCGACAATATGTAATATTATACTATTTGCTGGGAAATAAGTGTAACGGCTGACATATTTTCCTGTATATGCCATCATTTTGATTTCTTTCATATTCGAATACTCTTCACGGATAGCTGCCATAGCCGCTGAATTATCACCACCAACAGCTGCCAATACAGCTCTATCCTCGATACGAGTATGGATAGGCACAACATACCATTCATTATTACTACCAAGATCATTATAAAGTACCATCAATTTAGGATGTAATATTGAATCATTCTTTTTGAATATGACAATGTTGTAGATCGATATAATAATGTATAGCAAACTAATGACAATGGGTACCACCACCAGTGGCTTTACAGCAGCACTAACACCACCGAAAATCATCGATAGAAGCCAGAAAGCGATAAGAATATAGCGACGTAGCAAAAAACGTCCACCACGCATCATTGTCTTTTCCTCTACCGGTAAATTATTGTATTGTTCCACTGCAAAATTGTACTTTCCTGCGTAATTCTCTGGTACGGTAACTGTAATACCCGTTGCTCGTATGTCACCGATCTTTGTTGTCTCTTTTCGACTATAGGCCAATGCCGCATCTCCTGTGCTTGAAATAAGCGTGCTTTCACGTTGATAACCAAATGGAACTACAGACATATTAATATTTGCCCTACAAAAATAAGAATGATATAAACAGGTAAAAAGGATTCTTCAAGATACATTGTGGGAAAAAGAGAAACACTGACAATATTCGACAATTATCAAAACTTCGAACAAACACGAGTTTCTTATGAAATAAAAGCGAAACGAATATGCCTTTTGAAAATTTACTCATTCCCTGCCTGAAGTTTATATCTTCAATCAAAATCTCATTGAAATCTTTCTTAGAATTTTGTGATCTCAAAAAGATCACAGTCATATTTAAGATCCTTATCTTCATTTAAAATAGGTTCTACACCTAAGCCAGATTAAAAGTTCTTTAACAAGAACAAAATCGTGATCATGGTACCTATACTCATCTTCTAGTTTTAATGAATCGAAGCAGTCGATTACAGTGTTCAAACGATCGATTCTCTTTCACAGTTGCCTACCAAGATATAAGCATGAAAAAAATTCAATGTGTACACAGAAAAACAACTTCAATAGAAGTATAGCGAAAAGAAAAACAAGAATTTCAATTTATTCATGAAATTGTTTCTTCTCAATCATTTTATTGTTTTAAAGTAGCTCTGTTTCTTCCATTAGAGAACAGAAAGCTGTGAACATCTTAAGTGTTCGGGAGCGTCAATAAGAATGAGATTTTAATCAATATAAACAGAAGAAGCAGCGTCAATAATAAATTATTCATGCTATTTTTCTTCATGATTTTTTTTTTCACCGAAAGAAACTAAACATTGCTTCCGGCTTTTTCATTATGAATGGATAAAACCAAGAAAAACGACACTGAACAGCAACAAAAACGTTAACATGACTTTCTTTTCAACATAAAGTGAGTTTTATTTCTTGCTCTTCTTTACGAAAATAGTCAACTAAAAAAATTGTGTTGCTCTTGTTGTTTCAAAGTAACATTCCATTGATATCGAAATCAAGCTATAGATGTATACAATGAATTGTCTTATACAGTCTAACGAGGAAAAGCCTCATTGCTGAATAAAACAATAAAAAGTTCTCTAAAAAACTACTTAACTATATGCTCTTCTATTACTCATTTAAAAAGATCATTGTATCAGAATAGTTCAAATGTATCCAATAATCTCCATGAACTATTCATATAATATCTTTAAACTACCTGATGAAGTCCCACCAAGACAGAAACAACCGTTGTCGTGGAATGGCCAATATTCGAAAACATACCAAAATGTCAGAGAATCTCTTACTACTTACTATTGAAAGTTTTTATTCAAAACTTTTTTGATAAGAGTATATTATGATTATTATCAGCTTGAAAGGATCCTCAATAAACTTTTAACTACAATATTTCATAATAGGATATGTAAAATATTCCATCGAAAAGCATAAGCAATTGAGAAGTGGTTACCTTATCAGTAATCGAAACACATGTCTTACTAGCTTTTGATTGGTCTTATTATCAAAATCATTCTACTAACACATCCACATCCACACCCTGTGAGATGAACGACAAACAAATAGACTGAAAAAAAACTGCCATTATTGTAAAGGAATGAAAAACGAAACGTGGATAGCAAATTATTCATGGTCGTATTTGTCATGAATTTGAAGTGGAAAGAATTTGAAGTGGAAAGAAGCAATTACTTTTTTTTATGAACTAAATGTAAACTAATTGTGCAACACTTGTGTGGAACTGTGAGATGAAAGTCAAACAAACAGAATGGAGAAAAATAGAGCCGCTGTTATGAAGGAATGAAAAAAAAAACATGGATACCGAATTATTCATGGTCATGTTTGTCATGAATTTGAATGGGAAAGAAGCAGCTGCTTTGTTTCGGGGAAAGAAAAGTAAACTGCTTGTGCAACAGTAGCCTTGTACTGGAACATCAAACACAAACAAATAGCATGAATCAAAAGGCACTCATTAATGCTCAGAAATAAAAGAAACCATATTTGAATGTATTCTTCGCACTTTATCTTCAACGAAGTTACACAAAAATCCTCATGGTATTTTGTACTGGAAGAAACAATTGCTACTCATTAATTCAAAGATACTATAATGATTCTGATGTTGAACAGAGCTCAAACATAGTTGTAAATAAGGATACAGATAGATGTAATCAATAGCCTCTGTGTTATTGTTTTTTGTTTTAGAATAATATGTCCACTACTTAGAAACTTTATGTAACGAAATGAAGGATCGTATCATTTTGAATTGCTTCACAGTTCTCTGGCACTGCATGAAAATCTACTTCGAAAAAACTTGTATGTCTCTTGTGTCGGAGGATGCAATATATCGATCTCAAGTAGATCAGAAGTTTTCTCTCAAGAGTCAGGCAGCAAAGCAGATGTTGAAAATTTACGTAATCATGATATGAGACCATCTGTATTTAGTTTCTCTAGTACCAAGCAAGTGCATCACATAATATTGTGGTTAAAAGACATTCACGATTCTGCACCCATTTTAAATCGAGGATATGTTATCCTCACCATCCCCCATTCATTGTTGATACTCAACACTAACTGCAGATAATGACAGCGACTGATACACCTTTGTTGGTAAAGTCTCACAGCAAGCGAGAATACCAACAATATTTGTAACAAGTATAAGAGTGACTAATAGAAGTCCGTTGATATTCTTCTCATCCGTTGCAGCATCCGAATATATAGTTTCATGAGAAAAGTTGGTAATTCTAAAGAATATGATGCACATTACAACTGCTGTGACAGATTTCTGTTTCAAGAAATTTGCTTCAAAGACAGGAATATAAAAAAATATTTTCTCAAAAGATACAATGTCGATTATTCTATGCAAATGACAAGCTGAGAATTAACAAGTGGCAACCACACTATTGACTATTTTTCTTAGCACTGCTGATAAAATTTAATCTATATCAGTACAAACAGAAATCTGTAGTCGTGATTTAATGGAAGTACGACAGCAGAACTGGCTCTTTGTTCCAACTAATAGAGTTCTCAAATGCTTCGCTAAGTAATCTCACTAGTGAAAGCATTCTGAACTTTCATATGTAAGTTACAAATATATATGCAATGATGTATACAGAACTCCTACTCAGTTGAGCATGAAAATACTTTATGCCTATTCTTCCCATTCTCAAAAAGCACATAGATAACTTTCCATTAATTGTCTCAAGAAAAAACGAGGTGTCAAACGGAAATCATTTCTGGCCAGGATTGAATCAATGGGCTAGAATGCTCCAAAGCAGACAACAGTGTCGCTGACATCGAACATCAAGAAATTCTCACAGGAATAGGAGCTGAAATACAATGCTTGTCCTCAAAATCGCGACGTGCTTCACATATATTAATGCGGACAGTGTTGTCCGGTCAAAAGTATCTTCTCTGACATTACCACTCCTCAAACTTAGCCGAAATACCTATCGAGATCTAGTTACGCAATCTGGGCATAATTTGTACTATAAAGAAAATGAAGAAAGAATAGTTTTCCTCACTTGAACCTCAATAATAAAATTATTCAGTATTAAAGCTACCCAAGGATTGAACCTTGAGAAAGATTGAAACGAAAGTCGACGTACATTTTAAACGAGTCTTTGACAACGTATTTTGAGAATTTATTCAAGAATAACTTCGAAAAAATCCAATCCTCTTCGGTTCTTTGGAAATTTTTGAATATATACATCATAACAGTTTTTAATCGAATGCTATTCACCCCATCAGCAAGCATATACCAGCCCTCTCGATCTCTGAATTCTATAATCTTTATTTCTATTCATAGGATAGATTTACGCAAGTGTTACGGATTTGTCTTAAGTAATTCATGAACTTCGAGAGTTTCGACATGCTCTAATTGAATTCTAAAAATAAATGTCGACTCTCTCGAAGAAGGAGGAAACCAATTGTGTCTAGAGGTGTAAGCCGATGCTCGGATCGGCGGTGGCGGCTGAATTTTTAAAAAAATTTCGGTGTGTCGGCTGGTGGCGGCTACAAAAGTCTCGGGTTTCGGTGGCGGCGGCTGGATTTTTAAAAAGTTTTTCGGTGTATCGGCGGCGGCGGCTGAAGTTTTAAAAAACTTTTTCGTATGACGGCGGCGGCGGCTGAAAATTTGCAATCCGTGTTCTTAAAATTTTTTTATTTTCGAAATATTTTCAAATGAAGAATAGAGAAGATGATGATCGAAAGCTTATTCCAAAGAAACTAGACGAGGACCTCCTCAAAAACTGATCCTGAGTACCGAGAATTTTCAAAAATTATAAAAAAAGTTTTGTGTTTCGGCGGCGGCGGCGGCTGGAAATAGCCGATAACTATGTATGGCAACGGCGGCGGCGCGGCTGGAGAGTTCCAACATCGGCGGCGGCAGCTTGAAAAATTTTAAAAATTTAGTGCCCATCGGCGGCGGCGGCTGAGATTTTTTCAAAAAAATCGGCGGCGGTGGCGGCTCAGCCGCTCGGCTTACACCTCTAATTGCGTCGATCCTTAGAATTCTATAATCTTTAGTCTGATTCTTATAATGCGATTGATTGTTGTCAATGACCACTACCCATTCACCGCTTTACTTCTTAGGAATCATTTTCAATATATATACCCGAACCAATACACATAGATATGTGATATTCGTATCACATGGAATTGTACTGCAAAGGTATGCAGCCTCAACCAGACTATCAGACTTAAAGTCAAGTCATCAGTCGTTCTGCTTAAGTATATCACCACTATTGGTGAACAATTTTTATATCTTTATGTCGAATACCATGAGAGATCCATAATAATATTCTGTACAAGGACATCTATATACGACAGTTTCAAATGGCCTTGAGAACAATTGTAACAGTCACTTCACTTTTTTATAAGATCACTATTCTACGCTCCTATACGATACCTTTTCGTAACACAACATGAAAGATCCATTAAACTAGCATTTGTTGCTACAGTTTTAATTACAATTTTGCACTTTAAACTTTGAAACCGAACGAATAGCAACAGGCCACGACTCCCACACTCTTTCACTCTCACACAATCGCACCAGGTGTGGGTGCACCGGAAGGGGT